GAGGGAACGGAGGATCCCCAGCTCTCTGCCATCAAAAACACAATAGTAGTAATACAACGTAACACTGTGCACCCTCATGAAGACCTGTAGTAGCATGTTCATACCTAGCTCCCGAAGTCCCCGTGCAATCGGGCTTGCAAGGCGTCTGCTTCAACCAGGGCTGAGCAGGGGGGTAGGTGCAATCGTTCTCTGCCTAGCCCGGGTGCCTGCAACCGTTGTCTGGTCAGGTCACCCTGCCAATATGGCAATGGGTGATGGTCCTTGGTGGGGGTGCGCCAGGGCAAAAATGATAAGAGGAAGGGTGGGTGGGGTCTTCAGAGGGATTCAGCTGGACAACCAAGTGACCGAGTGTTGTGGGTAACTGTCATTGGTCTAGTATCCCACCTGTACTTTTTTAGCTTATTTATGGACGTAATTGCCGTCATAGAAACAGGTCTGGCTGTAAACCAGATAGGTATAAGCTAAACGTTTTTTTTTTTTTTTTTTTTTTTTTTGTTTGTTTGAATACACAGTCAGGGAAACGGGCCCAGCGTGGCTCACAATTGTTTGTGCGGCATCGTCTGCACAGCAAGGCATCACCGGCCAAGTTCTGCACGGGGGCAGCTGAAGGCACAGAATCATCACCGCACAAATGAACAAACTAAATCCAGCTAGAGGTGGTTTGAGTATGCCCTGAGAGAAGAATATAGCTTTGTTTCTGAAAATGCAGTAATTAGTCTCAAATCTGCATAAGCTGTGGGCTATACGTCGTCACTTTTGGTAAGAGGCCCGAAAGAGGGTATGCATTCGTGCCCTACGTGTGAGAAAAGCCTGGGCAAAGGCCTAAGGCCAAGGGGTACCCAGGGCTGGGCCAAAAACAGCATTCAGAGGCCCTACGAGCTGCAGTTGACTCTAGAAAAGTCAACGGTTAAACCCAGCATGGCCCAAAGGTCAAAGTCAACCAGCGGGTAAGCCATGGCCGTAGATCAGATGCACATCACTGGTTGTCTGCAGGTATCCAAAAGAATCTGGTCCAACTGGGACACGTGGGAAATCTGCAACTGCGCAGCATCAAGGCCATTGGCTTCCAATTGATCCAGGCCGTCGACCCTAGGAGACCAGAGGCTGGTCAATGTGAGTCGACGTTATAAAGTTGACCCAGCCCCTGCTGGAGATCATTCTGCTAGTATGACACTGGCTGTGGAGACATTACGCTGGTGCCAGCTTTGCTCTGTGGGGGCCAGCTTCAGAGGGAAGATTCTGCTTCAACGGCCGTCCCCGCCATAGTTTCAGACATCGTGTGCAGATTAGGCGAGGAGAAGGAGGACCAGGGCTGTGAGATTGTGAGCTTAAGAAGCTTACCTGGACTTACCTGGTGAGGCCGTGAGTGATCTTTTGTCGTCTCTGGGGCTCGTTCGACACTCCTCGGGCGCGTAAATCCCCCAAGGAAATGATCGTTCCACTTATCCTCGGGGAACAAATTGGAAAAAAAATGTGAAAACATTTCCTCGGGGATTCCTCGGGGATTCCTCGGTCTACAGCCATTTGGAGGCGTTCCCCAAGGGACCTCCCGACGTCCCTCGGAGGTCGAGCATCCGGAAGAATCGGGACGTCGTCGGCAGCTCTGTCGACGACATTTTTCAACGGCCGTTTGTACCACTGCTGTTCCTGGCGCCCGTGGACGGACATCTTCAATTGGCAACGGTCGGCGTCATGGAATAGTCCGGCAATGGTCCCCTTTTGCGGCCTGCTGGCCTCCGCGACGTCGAAAAGCCGCTGTCTTGCGTCGCTGCCCTTGGCCCTGAGCGGGAAGGCGCCCAACGGTCGGCAGATTCGAATATTTCAACCGTCCCCCGCCCGGGCGATTGCGCACTGTCTTCACAAACGGAATGTGTTTCCCTGCTTTTGTCGTTTGCTGCGTTCAGGCGTTTGCAGCACTGTCCCTCGCCGTTACGTGATAGATCCCCCGTTGTCTTCTAGTTGCCACCGTCATCCACGTGCCTTTCATGGCCGACGTCTTTCGGAGGCTGCTGCTGATGGCGCTGGTCGTCCTATTGCTCCTCCTCCTGGTTGTCTTCCACGTGTGCATCCTCGGCAGCATTCCGCGGCGTGGCCGCAGAAGGAGGTCTTTGAAGAACGACGCCAGGATGGAGGGCCGGCAGGCGATCAGCGGGTCGGTAGGGGAGCACGGTGGGCGGCGGTCTGGGTACAGCCCGTCTAATAGTTCAAGGCCGTCGGAGCGGTCTGGGTACTCGCACCTGCCACCGCACTTGCAACCTCTGCCAGACACGTCCGACGAGGAGGCGGATGATAGACGGCCACGGACCGTGCCGCTGGGAAGCGGATCCACCCAGGAGTGGGTGGCTACAGAGCTGTTTGGAAGCCGCTAGGGCGGTAATGGGCAGTCCTACACCGAACTCCTCCAGCAGGGGCTCAGCGACCACGATGGCGACGACAGCGTGAATCTGTCGTTTGGACTTGGCAGCGGGAGGTCGGCAGCCGTCTCTCGAACGGTCGTCGTAAACCCCCATCCCGACGACGATGGCGGCGACGTGACGGCTGTACTGCGAACATCCAGGTCTCCAACGCCGCTGCGGGAGGCTTCGGGGAACAACAAGGATCCTCCGAGGCAGCAATTTCGGTAGCCGTCTGTGTGTAGGGGTGCCTCCGCTCGCCCCCACTGGATGGAGTCCCCGTCTCCCCTGTCCATCGGTTCGAGTGCAGGCCGCCGTCTTGGCGAGTGCGGGGAGACGGCGAGTGGCATCGCTGATGTTGGTGACGCACGTGACGGGAGGGAGGTGTGGGCAGAACAGTGACGGTTGATGCGGTCGGGGCGGGAGGAGTCCATAACTCGAGGGGTGTAGCGATTGCGTGTTGGGGAAGATGGACAGGACAGCGAGGAAGCAAGGGCGGACGCGCACGACCCCGACTGGAACCAATGGCGCTGAAGGTGGGGAGGATGACGCAAGCAACATTTCACCGTCAAAGCATGGGGTCGCTATAGGAGGGAGGGGCGGGAATACGAAGTCGTGTGCCGACAATGGTCGTCGGGGCAAAAGGACGGCGGGCAAGGGTAGCGATGTCGAAGGTGACGTTGATGGGGAAGAAGGTCGTCACTTCTAGTCCGTCGACGACATTATAGCCCTCATCCGGGCTAAACGTGATCAGGATGCGCAACAGTAGGGGATGGGTCACGCGTACATTCGGATGAAGCCGCGAGAATGGAAGTGGCTGGATGTGGCGACGAGGTTGAAGAAGGTGGGCGTCGACAGAGAGGCCGATCGGTGCAGGAAGAAGTGGGACAATCTAATGCAGCAGTTCAAGAAGGTGCATCATTTCCAAGGTTTGTCCGGGAAACAGGACTTCTTCCACTTGTGCGGGAAAGACAGGATGTCGAAGGGCTTCAGTTTCAATATGGATCGTGCGGTTTACGACGAGATACTGGGGTCGACCGCCAAGAACCACACCATAAACCCGAAGAACGTCGCCGACACTGGTGCTCAGGGTGGTGTGCGTCTGCCGTCCGCCTCTTCTACGGATCCTGAATCTATGGGCGACGGGGACGGTGGTGCAGAGCACGACGACGACAACGACGGGTCCACGAAAGGTTCTTCGCAGACGACGGGTGGCGCAGGCGGTTTCGGCAAGAGGAAGAGCACGAGGCAGCAATTTTTTGAGGCAATGACGGAATGCATGGAGAAGCACGGGGCGCTGATGGCGTCGACGATGGAGAGCAACAACAAACGTCATTGCTCCATCGCCATACGGCAGTGCGAGGCGCTCGAAGCGGAGGTCGAAGTGCAGAAAAAGCACTACGCAGCGTCAGACGAAGTCAGCAAGCTTATGTACCACACCTTGCTGGAGATAGCGAAGGCCATCGCCAAGCGTTAGACTTCGTGCCGCCTCTGTTATGCTCTCTATTCGCTTCCATGGATATGGACGACGCGAAAGTGAGAGTCTTTTCGTCGTCGATGTAGCCATCGCCGTCGTCGTCGATGTGGCGTTCCCCCATTGGCTGTGCTGGCCAGGGAATTGGGTAGTGGTCCAATTTAGTGGATGAGTCCTCCAGTGACTTTTTTTTTTTTTTTTTTTTTTTTTTTTGTTTGTTTGGTTTGTTCTAGGCCTCGGCCGTGTGACGGGACGGATGATTCCGCCAACTCTCAATTGTAATTGGCGTCGATGAAGTGTAGTATGCACTTCTCTTTTTTAGATGACG